GATATATATATATATATATATATATATATCCAAAGGATGCTCAATCATGCCACAGGACATGTGCTCAACTATGTTCACAGCAGCTTTGTCATAGCCAGAACCTGGAAACAACCTAAAAGCCCCTCGATGGAAGAATGGATAAGAAAAATGTGGTACATTTACAACAGAAAATGGAGTACTACACAGCAGAAAAAATAACGACAGCTTGAATTTTGCAGAAAAATGGACGGTGCTATAAAACATTATTTTGAGTGAGGTAACCCAGACACAGAAAGACAATTATCACATATACTCACTCATAGGTGGTTTTTAAACATAAAGCAAAGAAAGACAGCCTAAAAACCACAATCCCAGAGAATTTAGACAACAATGCAGACACTAAGATCTAATCTACATGGGAAGTAGAAAGTATAAAAAGACAAGATCTCCTGAGTAAATTGGGAGCATGGGGACCTAGGGGGAGGATTGAAGAGGGGAGGGGAGAGGCATGGAGGGGAGCAGAGAAAAATGTAGAGCTCAATAAATATCAATAAAAAAAATAAGCTTCTGTGTGTATTTATTTGGGAGCTGGATAGTGGACCCCTAAAAGAGCCAAAGAGTAAAAACAACCGACCACACACACACACCACACCACTATCCTCTCTGATCAGAAATTGCTAAGTACCACCTGTCAGTCAGGATGTGCAGCAACCAGAACCATCATGTGATGCTGGTGGAATGCAAAATAATGTAGCCTATAGAATGTAGTGGGCGGTGGTGGCACACACCTTTAACCCCAGCACTCTGAAGACAGAGGCAGGAGGATCCCTCTGAGTTGGAGGCTGGCTTGGTCTATACAGAGCAAGTTCCAGAACAGCCAACAACATAGATTAAACCCTATCTTGGAAAAAAAAACACTATTTTTTTAAAAACATTTTTATAAAGAGGCTTGTCTTCCACTCGAGAACAGATGAGTATTGAAATGGCAAAAGCCCTCTGTGTGCGCTTCTCCGGAACTACTCACAAGAGTCATTTAAAGACTTTGCTGATCTTGCCTGCTTTGCCAGCATGCCCAGCATGCCCCAGAGCTTCTGTATATCCCGCCACGACCTATGAGTACTGGGATGGCAACCCTGTACCACATGTCCAGTTTATGGCTGTGCTGGGGATCAAACCCAGGGCCACGCGTAGGCTAAGCAAGCACCCTACCAACAGAGCCACGCCTTGTAAAGTTTATCTCAGTGGCACGATATTAAATGGCCTCTCCTGGGAGTTGACTGCTTCACCCACCACTGCTTTGGAGTCCTGTTGATTCTCCTGCCTGGTTTGCTAGGACTTCCACATACAGCTAAAAACCAGTACAATTTTTAAATATTGAAAAATTGGGCTGAGTAGCAGAGTGCTTGCTTAGTTTGAGTACCCAAACCACCACAAGGAAAAACAGAAAAAATTCTGAAATGAATCGAGGGTAGATGGGGGTAACACTAAGGACTTCATTATTAAGAGTCTCTCCCCTTTTGATGCCCTTTAACTTAGCTGCAGAATAAAGGACCAGCTTCCAGGAAACAGCATCATCAAAACTGGCCCCTTCCAGCTGGGTCCAGTCTCCTTCCCTGCGAGTCCTAAGTCATTGGGAGCTACCTTTTTATTCACTTAAAACCACAGAGGAACTATGAGCTAGGGAAGGTGGAGGGCTGCTCACCTGGAGGCAGGAAGAGCGTGGCGCGCACACGGCCCTCGCGCACGGGCACGCGCCGCACCCCGGGAGCCATGAAGTGACGCTCGTGCACCGCCCGCGCCAGCAGCCGCCCGCCGTCGGGCTCGTGGCCGTTCAGCACCTCCAGCTCCACCTCGAAGGGCGTCTGCACGTCGCGCTTGATCAGACGCCAGAGCGGCCGATCGGGCTCCATGGCCCAGAGCAGCCCCATGGGCTCGAGCCCCGCGAAGCTGCCGCCCAGCGCGGGCGCGCGCGCCAGGTCCAGCTCGCCGTGGGGGTCGGCGCGGTAGCGCGCGTGGGAGCGGAAGAGCGCGCCTTTCTCGTCGCGCAGGGCGGCGCGCAGCGTGACGGGCTGCTCGGGGGCCAGGCCGCGCACAGAGATGCTCAGCGGCTCGTCCCAGCAGCTGCGGCCCGCGGGCTCCAGGCTCAGCGTCGCGTTTGTCCGCTCAGGGGCCCAAGTGCTCCAGCCACCGGGACCAAACGGCAGGGGCCCTAACAGCTGCGCCCTGCTCTTGCAGCCCCATTGACACAACCTGCTTGTTCGCAGGACAGCGAGAAGCGAGGCCACCATTTTGCTTCTTCACTTCAGCCCTCAGTTCCTTGGGGTGAGTTAGAGATCCTCTAGCGGCCGGCTCCCTGCCTGCAGTGTAAGCGTCCACTGGGCTGAGCTGTGGGGCTCAGGGAGTTGGAGAGCTCAGAGCCAGCAAAGCAACAAAGTAGAGACAGACTTTGACTAAGCGTCTGTGCTTAAGACTTTGTTATATCCGGAACCCCCTCTCTAGTACTGTTTTTCAGGTGCTCTTTGCCCCATGAAGAGTGGGCTGGACTGCGGCTCGCTCTTCAAAGTCCTCTCACCCAATGACACCTCCAGTCGCCAAATTCCTAAGGTTGCAGACTCCAGAGTGTAAGATTACAATTGAGTTTCATCACATTGTGGAGTAACGGACACGTGTTACTAATCTTAGGACTGTTCTTTCAAAAATGTGCACCATAGTGCCTGCACGTGCTTAGCCTACATGTACATCCCATGTCCAACGGACTTCACGCCTCATGACCCTTTACCTGGATTCCAGACATGTGTAAAAATAGCCGAGTGACGTCATGGTTAGTCCTTTCTACACTGTGCTCATGTTGGCCCTCGAGGCAAACACTGCCTACTCATCGTGGACTTTCCACGCTCCCCAACTGTTTCATAAGCTATCATGGTCTTGAACCTTAATAACAAGGATAATTGCCCATCTTTGTTATTAGAGAAACCTGAACCTGTCTAAGACATACTTGTCCCTGCTCCCAAGAAGACGGTGTTAGTTTTTGTCCACTTGACCAAACTAGAAACACCTTGGAGCAGAGAACCTCAGTTGAGGAATTGTGTCCATCACATTGGCCTACATGACACTGATGATTGATGTGGGAGGGAGGGCCCAGGCCACTGGGGTCAATTCCTCCCTGGGCAAATTGTCCTGGGTTTTATAAGAAAGCTGGCTGGGGAGTGGACCATTAGCTCAGTGATTAAGAGCACCAGCTGTTCTTCCAAAGGGCCTGGGTTCGATTCCCACACCCATGTGGCAGCTCCAGAGGATCTGAGACATACACAAGCAGGCAAAACATCTATACACATAAAGCAAAATAAAATTTTAAAAAAGAAAGAAAGGAAGTTGGCTGAGTAATGAGCAGAAGGAAAGCAAGGCAGAGTTCCTCGGTGGTTCCTGCTGGGGGGGGAAGTCCTGACTTCCGGCAAGATGAACACCAAATAAACCCTTTCCTCCTCTAGTTGATTTTGCTCAGAGATTTATCACAGTTATAGAAAAGGAGCCCAGGACAACTGCTCAAGCACTTTTCCAGGCAATGTTTTTTTTTTATTAAAGATTTCTGTCTCTTCCCCACCGCCGCCTCCCCTTTCCCTCCCCCTCCCCCAATCAAGTCCCCCTCCCTCATCAGCCCAAAGAGCAATCAGGGTTCTCTGCCCTGTGGGAAGTCCAAGGACCACCCTCCTCCATCCAGGTCTAGTAAGGTGAGCATCCAAACTGCCTAGGCTCCCACAAAGCCAATACGTGCAGTAGGATCAAAAACCCATTGCCATTGTTCTTGAGTTCTTAGTAGTCCTCCTTGTCCACTATGTTCAGCGAGACCGTTTTTATCCCGGGCTTTTTTCAGACCCAGGCCAGCTGGCCTTGTTGAGTTACCGATAGAACATCCGCATTGTCTCAGTGTGTGGGTGCACCTCTCTCGGTCCTGAGTTCCTTGCTCGTGCTCTCTCTCCTTCTGCTCCTGATTTGGACCTTGAGATTTCAGTCCGGTGCTCCAATGTGGGTCTCTGTCTCTGTCTCCTTTCATCGCCTGATGAAGGTTAATATTCAGGAGGATGCCTATATGTTTTTCTTTGGGTTCTCCTTCTTATTTAGCTTCTCTAAGAACCCGAATTATAGGCTCAATGTCCTTTATTTATGGCTAGAAACCAAATATGAGTGAGTACATCCCATGTTCCTCTTTTTGGGTCTGGCTTACCTCACTCAGGATAGTGTTTTCTATTTCCATCCATTTGCCTGCAAACTTCAAGAAGTCCTTGTTTTTTACTGCTGAGTAGTACTCTAATATGTATATATTCCATACTTTCTTCATCCATTCTTCAATTGAAGGGCATCTAGGTTGTTTCCAGGTTCTGGCTATTACAAACAATGCTGCTATGAACATAGTAGAGCATATATTTTTGTTGTATGATAAGGCCTCTCTTGGGTATATTCCCAAGAGTGGTATTGCTGGGTCCATGGGTAGGTTGATCCCAAATTTTCTGAGAAACCGCCACACTGCTTTCCAGAGTGGTTGTACAAGTTTGCATTCCCACCAGCAATGGATAAGTGTACCCCTTTCTCCACAACCTCTCCAGCATAGGCTATCATTGGTGTTTTTGATTTTAGCCATTCTGACAGGTGTAAGATGGTATCTTAAAGTTGTCTTGATTTGCATTTCCCTGATCGCTAAGGAAGTTGAGCATGACCTTAGGTGTCTTTTGGCCATTTGAACTTCTTCTGTTGAGAGATCTCTGTTCAGCTCAGTGCCCCATTTTATAATTGGGTTGATTAGCCTTTTACAGTCTAGTTTCTTGAGTTCTTTATATATTTTGGAGATCAGACCTTTGTCAGTTGCGGGGTTGGTGAAGATTTTCTCCCAGTCAGTGGGTTGCCTTTCTGTCTTAGCGACAGTGTCCTTTGCTTTACAGAAGCTTCTCAGTCTCAGGAGGTCCCATTTATTCAATGCGGCCCTTACTGTCTGTGCTGCTGGGGTTATACGTAGGAAGTGGTTTCCTGTGCCCACTTGTTGTAGAGTACTTCCCACTTTCTCTTCTATCAGGTTCAATGTATTTTTTTTTTTTTTTTTACCTAGTTTCAAATGATCTCATACTGCGCTGAGGTCAGGAGTCACCGAACTCTAACCTGCCTGGCAATTTGGAAAATGCCAAGAGTTACTTCTCCAGGTGTTCTGTGGTGGTTGGTTCTCAGCAGGATGTAAGAGCCCCTGGAGTGGGGGGTCAGGGAGAGGGGCATAGGAAGCTTTAAAGACTTAAGAGGGTTTGTTTTTGGTGTTTTGGTTATTTTGCAATGAGTAAGTAGGAAATCCGTTCTTCAAAGCTCAGTTCACAAAGGAGATTTGATGAGTAGTTGACGATACCCCAACCAAGCCCACTGCTTCTGTGAATGGGTTCTGAAGATTTGTTGCCAGGAGACCACTATAAGCAGCTAAGCAGCTTTGGAACCTAAGGAACCAAGGAAGGTTTACGACACAGAACCTCGCTTCTATTTAAGTCTGTACTGTGGGACTCTATGCCACTTGAAAGGTAATTTCAAATCACTACAGCTTTAGCAGGATCTGATATAGCACAAATTCTAATTGTTCTTAACAGTAAAAACCCAGAGTCAGATATAGGGGTTAATATGTTGAAGAGCAGAGCAGAGAGGCCAGTCACTAGGGAGTTCTTATCTACCAATGCTCAGGCCAAAGGGGTGACCCTGTCTCTACAAATCCTCGGAATGCATTCCCAGACTGCAGACAGCTCGGACCTCCTGTCTCCTCCGCCTTATATTCCTCTCCTCCCCCTACTCCACCCCCAGCCATATCCCTTCCTATCTCCACCTCCCTAATGCTGAGATTAAAGGTGTGCGACTCCCAAGTACTGGGATTAAAGATGTGAGCCATCACTTTCTGGCTGTTTCTGTTTGAGACTGAATCAATCTTGTGTACCCCAGGATGGCCTTGAACTCACAGAGGTCTCTCTGCCTCCCAAGTGCTAGGTTTAAAGGTGTGCCACCACTGCCTGGCCTCTATGGCTAACTAGTGACTTAGCTCTGTATTCTGATCTTCAGGCAAGCTATATTTGTTAGATCACAAAACAAAATATCACTACGATCTTCATCAGTGTCAGCTGCATGGAGGGAGGGCAGACTGAGGTTCCTAAGAAAACTGAAGCTGTGTAAAAGACTCAACATGCAGACAGCAGCCAGACCTTCAGCCTTGGGTCTCATCTTGAAGTGGCTGGGGTTTGGACTCTAAGGTGAAGGCACTACAGCAGACTGGTTTTTGTTGTTGTTATTGCTTTAGGGTTCTAGGTTTTGTTTGTTTGTTTTGTGTTTTGCTTTGTTGTTGTTCTTTTGGTTTTTGGGGGGAGGGTTTTGTTGTTATTTGGGTTGGTTTTGTTTTGGTTTTACAGACAGGGTTTCTCTGTGTAGACCACGCTGACTTTAAACTCACAGAGATCTGCCTGCCTCTTCCTCCTGAATGCTGGGATTAAAGGCATGTGTGTGACACCACCGCCCAGCTGAGCAGACTGTCTTTATGGCATTATAAATGAAACGGACGGCTTTCATCTCTAAGGAGTAAAAGAGGTCATTTATTCTGGAGCCAAATATTAGTGACCATAGTCTTGGAAATTAGGTTTCTCCAAATACTGTGTTCCAATAAGGTAGCAATTTCGTGATGGTTTTGTAGGAAAAAAAGGTCATAAATCCAGACACTTTTCAATTATATTGGTGTAAACATAAGTGGGTCTGATGACACTCAGCCTTTAGATTGGTGAAAGCTAGTGGTCTGCTAAATTAATACATCACACAGGGTTTCACCCAGCAGTCACAGGACATGCATGAACTTAGAAAGGTGGGAAAGGACTGGCTGTTTAGGGAGCTGAAGGGAGCTCTCCACAATCTTTGAAGTTCTAGGCAATTTCTCCACCTTGTAGAAGGCTCAGTGGCCCCTGGGGCTTCTTTCCAGGAGCTTTTGTTCAAGCCCTGAGTGTATTCCCTGGAGGCAGCTGTGAATCTGGGTGAGAAATGTAAGTCAAGAGGTTCAGAAAGGAGGCGGGGAGGACACTTTGCAAATGTGGGTGCTCTTGTATTTGGGGCAGAGATGGTCAGAATTGAGACTTCATCTTGATGGATTTTTCCTGCCACATAAATGAAATGGCCTTCTTTGTCTCTTTGATCACTTTAGTTTGAAGTCTGCTTTATTGGATATCACACTAGCTTATTTTTTAGGTCCATCTGCTTGGAAAATCTTTTCCCAACCCATGACTCTAAGTTAAGGTCTGTCTCTGAAGTTGAGGTGTGTTTTTTGTATGCAGCAGGATAGATTCTGTATCCAACCTGTTAGCCTGTGTCTTTTTATGGGCAAATTAAGTCCATTGATATTAATGACTAGTGATTTCGGTTAAGTTGGGAGCGTAGCCCCCAGCTCCTGGCATCCATCCCAGCCTCCCTGGCCTGGGAGTTGCTTTGGTCCGGACTCCAAATCCCAGCATGCCTGGTCCTGACCCTCCCCAGGGAGAGGTCAGGACCACTCCCACAGAG